CCGGTAAATATTCTTTAAAATGCTTGACAACATCATTAAAATAAATAAATAAAAGTAAGCCAAAGTTTAAGACTTCGTTGTTGTCACGTGGTTAATTTTTCTACAGCATTTCAACCAGATCTCATATTGTTGAAGTATAAAACGTAACAATTTTCTATCCGTGCGTTTGTTCCTGTAATAATTCCTGAAATATCGTCCATGATCACAGCAACATCAGCGTGAAGCTGATTAATATTGATGAGAAGCTAGATAAAAAAAATCTGGTACATATATTTGGACAGAAGTCCAAGCTGGTGAGAAAACGAACATATCTGTAAGTTCTAATAAAATACAACTATATATTTCGATCTCAGTGGGGTATATATCACATTTTCGTGCGTGTATACCTGAAAGAAGACGGTTTTCTCTTTTTGGCACCACAACACTGCTAGATTTTCTCAGTCACTGTGTATTTATCTAAAAATAAATGCGCTTAAATTCACCTTCATCGCCAACATGTGCCAACAGCTTAGTGGTAGAATCCCCGACTGACGCCAATTCAGTCGGGTTTCGATCCTAGTTAGAAGCAACCTGACGTCTACCCACACTGATGAGATGATACAGCAAAACAGTCTGTCTGTGGATGACAATATATATATATATATATATATAATTGGTATATACGGAATGAATTCCAATAACCAACAATTACTATTCTTAAAAGAGTGCTCAATACAAAGTAGAGCAGATATAATTATATTTATAAAAAAATTTATAACATAAGTATGTTATAAAATCACTACAAAAATAGCCATTTTGTTTCAGCACTCTGTGTCTTATCAAGTGATGATGTAGAAAATAAAATAAATGGTTTTAAAAGTTTCAGATTAATTAACGATCCTACACTAGGGGGAAACATTGTTACAAAAGCTAGAATAACCAATCAAAAACCAAGTATAGAAAGATTCAAAAGCTTGACAACGAAATCATGTTATAATAGCTATTCAGATCTTTAAAATACGTGTAATATTAAAAATAATTTATACTAACCAATAATTATAAAATTATATGATAAAATTTAATATTAAAATTAAAAACTGGCAATTTTAAAATCCAAATTTAATCACTATTAAGTTTAAAAACTACAAAATTATTGAGAAAAGAAAAAATATATGTGTTTATTCAATTCATTTCTTCATTGAAATTACGTTCGACAAGACGCTACAATATTTCCGGTGATTTGACAATACATGTATATATTTTTTTTTAAAGTGTGTGAATGTGGTCTTAAACTCACGCGCAAAACAACAAAAACACAATCAGATTATAATACATAAGCACCCAGACATAATTTTGTTGTCAAGCTTTTGAACCTTTCTATACTTGGTTTTTGATTGGTTATTCTAGCTTTTGTAACAATGTTTCCCCCTAGTGTAGGATCGTTAATTAATCTGAAACTTTTAAAACCATTTATTTTATTTTCAACATCATCACTTGATAAGACAAAAGTGTGTTGTTAAAATGGCTATTTTTAGTGATTTTATAACATACTTATGTTATAATATTTTTATAAATAATAATATATATATATATATATATATATATATATATATATATATATATAACAAACCAATACCCAAGGAAAAATGAGGAATAAAAAAATAAAGAACTAAAAACATGGAATTGTGGTAAAACAATCATTCAGAGTTCAAGCTCTGAGTCCAAAGAAAAGAAAATCCTCCAAAACGAGTAAAAGCAACTAAGTTCTCAATACACGAAGTAGAGCAAACCTAATGATAATATATATATATATATATATATATATATATATATATATATATATATATATATATATATTGTATCCTTAAAAGGTTACAAACAGACAAAGGTGGTAATCGAATGGAAGGAACAGCCACACTGGCGTAGATGGAAGGAAGATAGGTTTATTGTAAAAGAGAATACACTATTGAGAGACAGGGAATTGACTAATACTTCCCGAAGCCAGTCAGACTGATAGACAG